AGGGCACTGGGGCTGGGCAGCAGGGTGCCCACCGCCTTTCAGAAGCGTGTCGGCAGCCCAGGCTCCCCTGCAGGAAAATAGGGATGCCCAGTTGAGGCCCGGCCGCCGCGCCACGGCCTGGAGACTGGCCGCTTGCGCCGGGGCGACCTGAGAAGGACACGCTCCCGCAGGAAGTCTGAGCAGCCCACCAGTGTCCACCGTGCTGAGAACAGGCCACAGCACCCCCCAATGCAGGGGCGCCTCACCCACGTTCCCCAGCATGCAGGCCAGGCATGCGGGGTCTGCAGGAGCTGGCCGTGCACCCCCCCTCCCCAGCAGAGCGCAAGCTCAACATGGGGCCCCTCCCCACACCCCACCCCCAGACCAGCTGCCCAGAGGGAGCCAGGACCCCCCCCAGAGACCTTGCCCACCGCCACCATTAACTGGCCGTCACCAAGGCAGGCTGGATGCCAGCCTCTCTGGGGCACGAGCCCCACCCCAAGCCCTCCCGAGGGATGCCAGGAGCGAAGGCGGCACCAGGCAGAGCACCGGGCAGCTAGTGCTGGGGGTGGGCCCAGGAGCGCGGCACCGCCCCCCACGCCAGCCAGATGAGCAGCCCCGGGGTCCCCAACGCGGCGCACCAGGAGGCTTCGGCACAGCAGACAGCAGCCCCACGGCCAGCCGGCCGGCCCCGGGGGCACACCCTCGGGCTCTCTGGGCCCCACGCCAGCCCCCTTTGGGCCTCAGGGGGGCCCATGTTCCGTGTGCTTCAGATTGGCTTAAAAAGCGCTCCGAGGGTCGGACCACAACACCCGCCCCAAGGAGCCCGGGCGGCACTCCAGGCCGGCGGGCGTGTCCGAGCATCCGGAGCCCAGGGCCCCAAACATGGCGCGGACAGCGCAGTTCTCACAAATGTACCACTTTCTTTCTTTCTTTTGTTAAAAAAAGGAGGGGCTGGTTTCACGGCCATCGCAGGCACTGCCATCCCGCCGTGCGGCGGAGCCCCGACTCCTTGCGGGGCATGTGGGGCGCACGAACAGCA